GCTGCCACTTGCTCCTCTGATGAGGTGCTGGCCATGACATAATACACAGTCTCAGTCTCCCCATGCTCATTGGTCCTGTTCACCACATGGATGACGGGGTTGGCTGGGGTGCCAGGTTCTTGCCCCGATGACAGTTCTGCTCCTGGGAAGGCACTGGGCTGTGCTGGCTCAGGGTTGGCAGCACAGCGAGGGGTTGGGGGTAGCAGGGTCACCTGCAGCTCAGGAACATGGTATTCAGGTGGATGAGGCTCTGCTGGGGCCTCCAGAATGATGCCCTGCAGGTTGCCCTCACCCTCAGACAGCACCACACACTCAGCTGAGCCATCCAGGGCCTCACCCCGCTTCTCTCTTTCCTTCAGTAGCTGCTCTGTCAGCTCCACACTTTCGTAACGCACCAGCTGCAGCCTCATGTAGCCATCCTCATGTTCCTTGTACCTGAGCAGAGACAGGTAGGGGTGATGGAGCCAGCCACACTACAGCCCCTTCCCACAAGACAGGTAGCAGCCTGAAGCTGCAGCCAAGGAAGGGAGGGGGCACTACAAAGCTACACACTGGTTGCAATGCCCAGTGCTGCATACATGATATTGGGCAAGTAAGATAAAATCCCTAAAAGTACATTGGTCTTGAGCACATTATAGGTAAATATCAGAGCCCAAGCACTGCCAGGTCTCTGCTCCAGCAAGATACAGGATGTGGTTTCAGCTGTCTCTTGCACTAGAGAGGAGGCAATGAGAAGCTAAGGCTGGCCAGTACCTGAAGCGAGGATGTCCTGAGGGCCATTTGAACTGATGTTTCTTCCTGAGGTGGACAGTGAGGTTGTTTCCACGTGTGAAGCACTTGTCACAGACATGGCACTTGTACCGGGGTTCGCAGTCACCCTGAAGGGCAGAGAAAGGGATGTGAGTACCCCATGAGCCTGATCAGAGGGCCTGGAAGGAGGAATCAGGTTCTCTGAGAAGACTGATATGACATACCATTGCAACAGTAAGAGAGGAATGCAACCTGACCACACATTTCTACAGCCCTAGTCAGCCTGGAGCACTTCACAAGACTAGCTTTTTTCCTCATGCATCTGTACAGCATGTTGAACTAGCAGCTCTCAGTACGCAGCAGAATAGGCCTCTGTTCCCTGTGTACCTCATGGACTTTCCGGCAGTGCAGTTTGATGGAGCAGGGGGAACGTGCAGTGAAGCTACAAGCCTCAAACTCGCAGCGATAGGCTGGCTCTTTGCTGTGTGTTTCCATGTGTTTCCTCAAGTCAATGAGATTCTTGCAGCTAAAAGGAAATGATAAGGGAACAAAGTTGAACACTGTGTAGCACACACACATGTCCCCCCAGGTGCTTCCCCATCACCAGCGTGGAAAACCCTGGTCCTTACCTGTAGTCGCAGTAGTCACACTTGAATGGCCGCTCCTCACTGTGCCGAAAACGAATGTGATTGCGCAGGGAGGAGGGCAGCGGGCAGGTCATGTCACACATTGGGCACTTGTAATGGTTCACTGTGTGAAAGAATGAGTGCAAAACATTACCACAAAGCAGGGAAGAGCACACATGCTTCAGGGCCTCAGCTGGCAGAAGGGGTCTTTACTCACCATGGTTCCTCATATGGTCACGGAGCAGTCTCTCTGTGGCAAACCTCTTGGAGCAGTGAGAACACTGAAACCTCTGCTCTGCAGCATCAGGACCAGGGAGAAAGAGGAGGGGGTGGTGAGAAAAGACATCAGAGCAGAGAGAACAGCACAAAGAACAGCAAGTGAGAAAAAGAGGTAGCTACAGCACAATTGGGAATCCTTCTCTCCAGGCAGACAGCAGAAACTGACTACAAAGCCAGACAAACAAAATCACTTGCAAAGACCGATCTACCTCCCCTTTGAACAGCTTCCTTGTGCTGCCAGTGCAAGAAATGGGGAGCAACCATCACACACACACACACACACGCATCAGCACGGCACAACAGAACTCAGCAAGCAAATCCCAGTGCTGCTATAAGAGCCCAGCTGCTGCCTTTGACTTCAGCCCTGGGGCCTCACAGGAGGAAGAGCTCTGCCTGTAGCAGTGGCTGAGTTCCCAGCCACCAGAAAAGCCAGGCCGCTTCCACGCACACTTGTGCTCTTGGCTTGCAGAGAACAGGCATCTCTAGGAAACCAACTGGCCCAGCCAGGCAGAGGGCTGCTTACAACCCACCCACAGGAGCTTACGGTCCAGGGCAGTCTGACGGCGGATATGGTCAAAGAATTTGGTGTTGTTGGCAAACATCCCGCCACAGGTAGGACAGGCCACCACCTTCTCCTGTGTGTGGCTGCGCAAGTGCTCCCGCAGTTTGCAGCGCCCCTTGAAGGTGCAATCGCAGTCTAAAGAGAAACGACAGAAGGACACTGAGATCCTTCACACATGGGCCACGATCTGCAACCTGAGTCAGTGGCAGGCTTCTCACTTCTGTTTTGGCTAGCAAAGACCAACTGCAAAAAGCCCACAGAGGAGGGTCACACAGCAGGATGAGATCACTAGTGTATGTGTCCCCTGCAAGCAGCTAAGGCAAGTGAGCAAATACAGGCCAAAGAAATTATTGGGAAAAACACTGAGCCTTTTCTTCTAGGTACTAATTAAATACAAATGAGAAGTTCAATATTAAGCACTCAACTGGATTCCCTGAAGGAAATTCTACAGGAACATTTCACTGTTGTGACCATGCTCCCGTACTTCTGAAGTTCAAGAGGTTCTCTGAAACACTGTGAAGGAGCACAGGGTTTTCCTGTACAACATTTGCAATCCAGCCCTGTGCAAAGCTCTGTAGAGAAGCCTTGCATGCACCCACTAACCTTTCCAACCACAGAGGACCACATGGTTCTCCTTCCCTCTTGCCTTGTACTCTGAACAGAAGCTGTGATCCTCCACGTGCCGATAGAACCACTCGGGATTATCAAATGATCTCTGTTGGGGAGCAGGGACAGACAAAACAGGGTGAAGAGATAAGCTAGAGCACAACAGGCGCTCTCACACAGGTACAAACACAGGCAACAGGCAGGTGAGCTGCAGGACAAAAGCAGCTCTCCTTCCCTTGGCTGTCACATCAAAGGTGAACTATACGAAAGCAAAACTGGGTCCCCCGTTCTCACCTCACAGTACTCCCACAGACACAGGAAGTTGTCCTGGATCTCAGGAATGATATTGCGGCTCTGGAAATCCAGCTGGCAATGGCTCACATCTGACTGGCTCTGCAGGGCCCGCAGCCCCCACTGCTTCAGCTTGGTGTGGTAGCAGTGGAAATAGACGTGGCGAGTGAGGTCAGCTGAGCTCTCCAGGGAACTTTTTTTTTTCACAAACACGTGTATTCCTCTGCAACACAAACAGGAGGTATTCACACTGCACCAGCCTGATGGGAACGTTCCAAGTAAAGCTCAGGTTGCAGCAAACAGAAACACCGCAGTTATTCTCATGAGGCTGCAGCGCAGCAGCAGGCAGCGCCGCGGAGAGGAAGATCCTCTCACAACGCAATAGCTCAGACAAGAGGGAGGGCAGCGGTCGAGGCTGCGAGCGCCTTACCGAGAGGGTCCATCTCGTCCCGGCGCTCCTTGGCCAGGTGCTGCTGCAGGTGCTGCGCCACATGCTCGCAAAACTCCTCCATCTGCGAGGCCACGTACGAGCAGCGCTCCCATTCGCACTGCAGCACCAGGGCCCCTTTGCCGCCGGCCTTCGCGGGCGCCATGGCCGGGGATGCGGGGCAGCGCGGAGAGGCCG